GTTTTATTATTATTGATGTCTTTTCTCTGTCACTTCTTCCCTCCATCAGGTGACTCTGCTGTGGAACAGGAAGTGAAGACAGGCAGAGAGGTGAGAGAGGAGCAGCTGCACCGTGTGGAGTTTATTGATGAGGTTTCACCACTGATTAAAATGTAGTTATTAGTCAGTGTTTTTCTGGGATCCAGACAAATCTGCAGCTCAGGTTTGATTTGTTCACAGTTTATTTATTACGTGTTTGAGACGTGAAGAGGAGCGTGGAGGCATTTTGGAAAATAATCAAGAATGATGGGACACTTTCTGTCCTCAATATTAAACAAACTGACAGTATACCTTCCAATAAAAACAAACAATTGCACTGAAAGATTTTCTTGAACAAAGATTTGCCACCATAATTCTACAGACATTTAATTTACCAACTGGTATCAGAGTTAGGATTCAGTTTGTTTCCAATTAGGTTTTTTCACATGTAAGCAATTTGCTTTGGTGGGAATACATTTAATTATACATCAGCTCATCAGCTGTGAGCAATGTCCGCCCCAATGTGCTGTGATTGGCTGGTGCTACTGTGCTGTGATTGGCTGTAACTCTGATTGGCTTGTAATACTGTGCTGTGATTGGCTGTAACTCTGATTGGCTGGTGCTACTGTGCTGTGATTGGCTGTAACTCTGATTGGCTTGTAATACTGTGCTGTGATTGGCTACTGTTTTGTGAGCGACAGTAGTGGACATGGCTCAGCACTACATGACATGTTAACCGGTTACTTACCCGTTGGAAATCAACGATGAGCTGACAGAATCATTTGAATTTTAGATTTTTGTCTCACAATGAACTGGATTTTTATTACAATAACTCACTTTGTACCTTTCATAATTCCAGGCTCCAGTTTCCTTCCCATCTGAAAACACACCTGAATCTTCAGACAGGTAATCCTATAACAGGACCAAACACTTCTTTAAAAATATGTATTTGTATTTAATATAATAAATAATAATAATAATACATTTAATTTATATAGCGCTTTTCCAGACACACAACGCTTTACAAAAGTCACATTTAACAAACACAGTCATTCAGATTGGCGGAGTTATGACATGGGTGGAGGACCGGAGTGACGGGGTCTCGGCGGTGGGTGGAGGTGAGCAGGCGGCGGGCGGGGAGTCTGGACGTAGAACCGTAGAGGATGCTATTACAGTACTCGAGTCTGGAGGTGATGAGGGCGAGGGTGAGGGTTTCAGCAGCAGAAAAACAGAGGGAAGGTCGGAGGAGGGCGATGTTCTTGAGTTGGAAAAAGGCAGTTTGGTGATCAGGTGAGTTGACACAGCGGTTTCAGATCTGGGTGGAGGGGTCGACTTTGAGCTGTCAATAGGCGCGTTCACACCAACTACTTTCCTGTACTTAGTTCCGGCACTAAGAGCCCCGGCGCTTTTTACCCCAGGGCACTTAGTACAGATCGCGTTCACACCGGAGTACTTTTCTCTGAGGGAAGATTGCGCAAATGAGCCGCTGACGTCACTTCTCTTCTTCTTCTTTGGCTTTACTGGCAGGCCACAAACCACTTCAGGGCGAGTACAGTAGGTGGCGGTATGCACCTTAAAGTTGTTTGCAATCCGCTACAAAACAAGAGAAGAAGAAGAAAAACTTCCCGCGTATACTGCGACGCCCACCCACTCGCTGTACATTAGGCGTCTGTTGTTTACCTTCCGACCTCAGACATGATGGAGATGGAGTCGACTGAAGTTGTGCTGTTTGTGCTCATGTTATACAGCTTTGTAACTGAGTTAATGCAGCCTGAGCAACTTGCGTACAATAACAAAACAAGCCGAGCACGAGTGGTGGTGGAGAACGCTTTTGGCAGACTGAAGGGCAGGTGGCGGTGCTTGATGAAAAGAAACGTCTGCAAGATCACAATCCAGGTGGCAGCATGTTGAATATTACATAACCTTTGTGAAAGTAATGATGAGTACAGGGACGAATGGACTGCCTTACCGGCGACCCAGCTTGATGGGCCAGCGCCAGCCATTGCCGAAACTGGGGGGCAAGACACGCGCACAGCCCTTATGAGGCATCTGAACAGCGTGTAAATTGTACATTGTAAAAATGTTGACAATAAAGCTGATCTTTTGTACAGTGCTTTTGTTTCTCTTTTATTTTCCAGTCAAGACAGGCAACATACAATAGTGTACAGTGTGGCAATATAATAACAATAAACTGTGCCAGATGTGTTGTATGCACAGTAAATAGGCTCAGCAGCAAACACACCTGTATTATTTATTATATATCTTCCTGAGACCCACTGCATCCGTCTGCCATAAACACTATGGAAACCTACATGTTAGTTTTGGCCCATAGTGGACTCCATTTTGTGTTGTGTAAAATGGGGGGGGGAATTCAAAGTTTGCAAATCCCCATGTCCTCCTCAGAGGATAATCATAAAAACATTTAGTTTTAGGTCAAATAATATTTAAAATGATATAAATTATCATATTTGTGTATGTGCCCCTGCCATTCCTCCACAAGGTTGCAACATTGATGATAAATAAATGACAAATAAAGCTTTGCCAGTTTATAACCGATGAAACATGATGGTATCAGAATAATCACTTACATGTGATGTATAGGATGCTACACAGGTCACTAAAGATAAAGTGTCAGGAGAAATAAGCAAGCTACAGGATCTGTTTAACAGTAAATAGAAGTTCACATTTTTAATGTAAATAAAATAGAAGTTGTACATGTAAATTAACATTATCAATATAAAATAAAGTGTCAGTTGTATCAAGACTATATAATAACAGTAATAACAATAATATAAAATGAACTGGTGAGCATCTTGTCCTCCGTTTCCTGGGCCTTGGTGAACAGCACCATCTGATCCCCGTGCATCGACTCTTTCACCACCACGCACGCCGTCCTCCAACGCCTGGACGGTGTCAAAGAAATTCGCATCCCGTGTCCGCTTTCCTAAGAGGGGAAAATAAGCAATATACAAGATCTGTTTAGTCGCCATGTAGTTTTACAACATACTAGTGTGTGTGTGTGTGTGTAGCTGCCGCTCAAAGTGCCCTTCTTTATTGTTTTGTATTTTTGAAGAGTGCTTCATGTATGCTTGAACTTTGTTTAATGTTGTTGAGGCAGACATTTATACCAGATACAAAGGGAAGTAGGAACGGGAAGCACTTGGGGGAGTAGTAGAAGAGAACAGAGCATTAACAGCAGGATAAAAGTGGGTCACTCTGGATTAAACTCATCACTGCATCTGATTGGAAAACATCCAAATGGCAATTGTGATGGTTGCCAACAACCAGAGACAATACATCATGTATTTTTTAGCTGCCCGGATTATAACAGACAAAGACTCATTCTGAAAACTGCACTGGAACAACTCAACATCAAGGACATGGATTTCAAGTCAATATATGAAAGTAAATCAAGAAATGAAGCAAACAAGCTGATCTTCAAATTCCTCAAAAGCACTGGTCTGAGGACAAGGATTTAATATAAACATTTAATAAATCAACAGTAGGTGGCGATATATGCTCCAAGTGGAAGCGATTTCTTACCGGAAGTCATGTGACCTCTAGCCCGGATGTTTACAATGTTTGTGAGAGAGTAAAAAGGCGCGAAAATGTGTAAATGCCGGTCTAGGCGAATACGTTTTCACGCTGTTTCATAATTGTACCAAGAAGGAAATAAACATGATTGTGAACATCAGTTCCATGCGTAACGTTCTTTCAAGACAAAGTTACAGTGTGTGTACCTTTGCGTTTGGTTGCTGGTAAGGGAGACGAGCAAGCGCTTTGATCTTGAAGGCAAAGCTCGCTTGTTTCCAATCCCGAGAGTTGATTTTCCTCGCCTGAAACACACGATTAGTGCCATGAGTTAGTGAAGCAAATTACAGAAACACTGCACAGTTATTCACAAGTCAAAACGTTTTCATAGCGGCCGAGAATATCTAGCTAGCTAGATGTTATTAGCCAGCTCGGGGCCAGTGTTAGCCAGTTCAGCCTAGCATGGCTAGCTTGATCTACTGAGCAAATAAAAGTACATCTGAGACCATTATTGTGCAGATTAAAACCCCAGTGCATGTAGTTGATTTTACCTTCGTCGTGGTCGTCATCGTTGGCCACTGAATCCGCCGTTTGAGCGGCCTCCCACACCATCGGTCGATGCTGTCCGGGAGAAAAGGTCTGTGGCCTAGCAGAGCATCCAAGCGCTCGTACCATTTACTGGTCTTCCGGTCGTTACCACTCTTGTTATAATAGTCTTTAATTTGTTTGTAGTCCTGCCTGAGTTTCTTTATTTTTAGCCGGTATGCCGTGGCGCTGTGCACGATTCCCAGGTCGAGTGAAAGCTACTGAACTGGCTTCAGTAGCATTCCCTGGGTCGCGTCCTCGGCGTAGATCTCCAGAAGCGCCGACACCTCCTCATCACTCCACCGCTCCGATGATTTCTTGATGCTTGCCATAACTGCTTTCAAAAACAAACTACTCTCCGTCGGTGCGATGGGTTTTGTAGCGAGGAAAAACAATGGCGGCTCTACACAACATTTTCACAGTTGTACGGGGCGTGGTTTGCAATTCGCCCAGCCAATCAGCACTGGGGCACTTTTCACCCAGGAAAGTACGATCTCTCAGCGGGCTCTAAAAATGGGGGTAAAAGTTCCCGAGATTAAGTACTCTTTTGGTGTGAACGCGACATAAGGGGTACTAACGGAACTAAACGCGAAAAGTACGGTGAAAAGTGCTCCGGTGTGAACGCGGCTAATGGTGAGTGAGAATCACTGGGCAGAACAGGTGAGGGAATCCAGGCAGATTCATATTTGTGATTTATTGAGTTGGAGTACGTTTTTTTTGCATCCATAGTTTATGATCTGTAAGGCAGGCGGAGAGGGTGGAGTGGGTGGTGACTGTGATGTAGCAGGGGAAATCGATGCCATGTTGGCGGAGGATATGATGGGAAGGATGTACATGATAACGAGGAGGGGGCCTCTATGTGTAAGATGCTATACAGCAGTGGTTCTCAACCTTTTCCAGTCTCAACCCCTCAGAATACATTCAAATGTATCTGAAACATTTTGGATGATTCAACAACATATAAAACATAGGTGTAGTGGTTTAGGCGATTCCTGAGGAACTGTTACATATTAAGTATATCAATATTAATACTTGTATTCAAAAGTCCAGCTCTGGGAACGTTGAGGAATATAAATATCTCAGTTTTCTTAAAGCAGAAGACAGGAAGTGATTCACAGAGCAGATGGTATCAGTAGCAGAGTCACTACATTTATGAGACCTCTGTATGAAGTGATTGTTGGTGATTTCATAAAAGTGTTTTCCTGTTTATCTTCCAGGTCCACGAGGACAAACGTCCCAAAGAAACGGTGCATTTTGCAGTGAACATCTGATCAGAGCGTATTCCAAAACGACAAAGAAAACCTGAACTGCTGAAACACTGTTATAAAAGAAATACAGCGAACATGTACATTTTCACTTTAAACTGTTATAATTCACAGAGAAAATACATTTGAAACCAGTAAATATAACAGTGTTTTTCTGGTGAATTAGCATGACGACGCTGAATTTAAACAGATTGATTATTTCAGTCATTTTTCCTCAAAATGTATGATGTAATGTTTTCTGCTGTATTAATCACAAGAGCTTAACGTGATAGTAACTTTTAAATATTGCAGCTCTGTCATAAAATCTGTTTCTATAAATCCTTATTTACACTTTACAAGATTAACCCTTATGTCCTCCTCGGGCCTTTTTGTACCTTTTTTCAACTTTTGTTTTGTATTTGGGGATCGTTCAGCAGAGAAGAGGGTCCTGGGGTTGTGGGAGGGGTCAGTGAAGATGTTGGAGAGGGAGGCCGATTCAGTGGCAATAAGAGCATCTTTGTAAGCATTGAGATGGAGTTTGTGTGAGGGATGTTTTCTTTGAAAGACGTTCAAGTTGGCGGCCTCGCTGCTTCATTTGACGGAGTGCGGGTGAACCAGGGGGAGGAGGTCTTGAGAGTGACAGTTTTATTTTTGAGGTGGCTGGGGGTGTTGAGGGAGGGTGAGTAGGGTGGAGTTGAGGTGGGCTGGGTGTTGAGGGAGGTGAGTAGGGTGGAGTTGAGGTGGGCTGGGGGTGTTGAGGGAGGTGAGTAGGGTGGAGTTGAGGTGGGCTGGGGTGTTGAGGGGAGGTGAGTAGGGTGAGTTGAGGTGGGCTGGGGGTGTTGAGGGAGGTGAGTAGGGTGGGAGTTTGAGGTGGGGCTGGGGGTGTTGAGGGAGGTGAGTAGGGTGGAGTTGAGGTGGGCTAGGGCGTTGAGGGAGGTGAGTAGGGTGGAGTTGAGTGGGCGGGGTGTTGAGGGAGGTGAGTAGGGTGGAGTTGAAGTGGGCTGGGGTGTTGAGGGAGGTGAGTAGGGTGGAGTTGAGGTGGGCTAGGGGTGTTGAGGGAGGTGAGTAGGGTGGAGTTGAGGTAGGGCTGGGGTGTTGAGGGAGGTGAGTAGGGTGGAGTTGAGGTGGGCTAGGGTGTTGAGGGAGGGTGAGTAGGGTGGAGTTGAGGTGGCTGGGGTGTTGAGGGAGGTGAGTAGGGTGGAGTTGAGGTGGGCTGGGGTGTTGAGTAGGTGAGTAGGGTGGAGTTGAGGTGGGCTAGGGTGTTGAGGGAGGTGAGTAGGGTGGAGTTGAGGTGGGCTGGGGTGTTGAGGGAGGTGAGTAGGGTGGAGTTGAGGTGGGCTGGGGGTGTTGAGGGAGGTGAGTAGGGTGGAGTTGAGGTGGGGCTAGGGTGTTGAGGGGAGGTGAGTAGGGTGGAGGTGGGCTGGGGTGTTGAGGGAGGTGAGTAGGGTGGAGTTGAGGTGGGCTGGGGTGTTGAGGGAGGTAGTAGGGTGGAGTGTGAGGTGGGCTGGGGTTTGAGGGAGGTGAGTAGGGTGGAGTTGAGGTGGGCTAGGGTGTTGAGGGAGGTGAGTAGGGTGGAGGTGAGGTGGGCTGGGGTGTTGGAGGGAGGTGAGTAGGGTGGAGTTGAGGTGGGGCTGGGGTGTTGAGGGACGGTGATAGGGTTGGAGTTGAGGGTGGGCTGGGGTGTTGAGGGAGGTGAGTAGGGTGGAGTTGAGGTGGGCTAGGGTGTTGAGGGAGGTGAGTAGGGTGGAGTTTGAGGTGGGCTGGGGGTGTTGAGGGAGGTGGGTAGGGGTGGAGTTGAGGTGGGCTGGGGTGTTGAGGGAGGGTGAGTTAGGTTGGAGTTGAGGTGGGCTGGGGTGGTTGAGGGAGGTGAGTAGGGTGTGGAGTTGAGGTGGGCTAGGGTGTTGAGGGGAGGGTGAGTTAGGGTGGAGTTGAGGTGGGCTGGGGTGTTTGAGGGAAGTGAGTAGGGTGGAGGTTGAGGTGGCTAGGGTGTTGAGGGGAGGTGAGTAGGGTGGAGTTGAGGTGGGGCTGGGGTGTTGAGGGAGGTGAGTAGGTTGGAGTTGAGGTGGGCTGGGGTGTTGAGGGAGGTGAGTAGGGTGGAGTTGAGGTGGGCTAGGGTGTTGAGGGAGGTGAGTAGGGTGGAGTTGAGGTGGGCTGGGGTGTTGAGGGAGGTGAGTAGGGTGGAGTTGAGGTGGTTGAGCAGATCATCAGGTGAGCTGAGGGTTGTGTCCAGGGGGAGATTAGACGATAGCAGTTCGGAGAGATGGTTATGGTCAATGGAGTGGTAGATTACGGAAGTTGATGTTTCTGGGTGGGCAGGGTGTATTGTGCCTCCCTCGGGCCTTTTGTACCTTTTTCAAACTGTAGTTTTGTATTTGGGGATCATTCAGCAAGAACTCTTGAGTCAAATGTTTATATACAATGTCTTTTTACTCTTACATGTCTTTTATACTCTATCGATGCATTTGGACCCTCTGGACAACGTGGCAAAAATGTACACCAAAAAAACTGCTATTAAATCATATTATCATTCATCAATATGTTATTCAGCTTTTTTTCATAAATCCCTTAAACAACTTAAAACTTGCTCAAAAATTACCAATCATTCTCAGGATTTAACCCTTTAAATGCCTGTTTAATTTGTTTGAATTATTCATTACAAAACATCAGAAAAACATGATTTATTTCCCATATAATAAACAGTAGGGGGCTTTGGTGGTGATTAGAGTCAGAAAGTGTGGTGTGTGGTGTGTGTGTGTGTGTGTGTGTGTGGTGTGTGTGTGTGTGTGTGTGTGTGTGTGTGTGTGTGTGTGTGTGTGGTGTTGTGTGTGTGTGTGTGTGTGTGGTGTGTGTGTGTGTGTGTGTGTGTGTGTGTGTGTGGTGTGTGTGTGTGTGTGTGTGTGTGTGGTGTGTGTGTGTGGCGTGCCACAGAACACATGCAGTTGTAATGAGGAGGAGAAGACCCTGGAGCAACAATGAAGGCATTTCAGTGCAGAAGAAGCTTCAGAGATGGCCGTGCAGCTTTTATCTGCCAGCGAGGACTCATCTGAAGAAGACCCAAGCTTCGAGGGGAAGTCTGGAAGTGTCCCCGGGTTACAGGACGCAGAGGCGACGCAGAGCCATGGATTTCAAATGACGCTCAATCACAGATTACACTAGAGGGGAGGGAAAAGGGTGTGTGGGGAGAGACAGAACATATTTACAAGCAATCACACACATTTAATGTAACTCTCAATAGGTGTTACCATTTTTTTTATCCCCCTTAAATAACAGAATTAATGACATTATTTTAATGTTTTGTTGAATAATTATTTGTGCTGTTCTTTATTTTTTTATTTAATTTTTATTTATATTCATTTTTTTCATCACGTAAGTATTTTTTTTATGCCACTTAAATATAATTATTGTTTACAATTAATTAATTTGTTTTCAAGTTATTATTCGAGTCATATTTAGGGCTGTTATTAAAATAAATCTTTTATTTGTATTTTTTATTGTAGTTTGTTTTTCGAATTAAATCACAATAAAAAACATTTTATTTTTAAATGATATCAGACACAATATCGTTATCTTAAAAGCAGCTTTAATGTACCTCGAAATATCTCAGTGTTATTAAATATATATTTTTATTTATTTGTCTAATTATTATCAAATATTATGAAAGTAAAAGATTGACTCTCGTATGTATAAAATCAAATTAGATAAGATAAGGTAATGTAAGATAAGATAGGGTAAGGCAGTGTTTCTCAAACTTTTTCTTACCAAGGACACTTAACCAATAAAAAAACACTCGCCAAATATCCAAAAACAATAGGCCTGCTTCCCACTCCAACAGTACATAACAAATTACAGCCTGATAATGACAGCTTAACTCTCTGTATCGCTCGTTCACACATTAAATCAACAATACAACAACTGATTCTACAAGCATTTCGTTCAAATGCGATTTAAAATGCTCTCAGGTTTTACACCTCTTGTGAAATGTAGACTGCATTTATTACGGAGTTTATGTCCAACAGACTCACAGATCGTTGGCTACTGAGAGAAATGCAAAACCACACCGCATGTAGTACGACACAAACCTCCGCTGTGGATTTTCAAAACAAAATACAGTAAACTATGGTCGCAGGCCCAAGTTTAACTCTCTGAGCCCTTTTTTCACATGTTAGGCTGCATGTTAGGCTTCCAGGAGATTACAAATCTCCTGGAAATGGTACAAACAAGTGGCAACATGTGTGAGGAAGGTGTGGCGCTGGGCTATATCATGCAATTGAAAGTGAAAGTTAAGCTCGCTCCATTGCGGAGATATTCCCGTTAGAGTGCGGAAAACTTAAATGTATTTATTTATTTCAAATGTGAAATGTTACCAATATACTCACGGACCACTAGAGGGCGCTCACGGACCACCAGTGGTACGCGGACCACACTTTGAGAAACACTGGGGTAAGGTAAGTGATTATATGACATTTTAATTCATGTTCAAATTGATAATTATTTTTGTTTCCTTCACGTTAAAATAAATGCTATTGAACAAAGTATTTACACAAACTAAATAAATAAATGCTATTGAACAAAGTATTTACACAAACTAAATAAATAAATATAAATATAAATATGTGATTGAAAAAACACTTAAAACCAACAGAAGTAATTAAACACACACTGTCAAAAAGGATTTGATCAATAAATAAGTTTACATTTTTTCCATAAATAACAATTTATGCTATTTCTACTGAATTTCACAAGTTGTTATTATTTTAACTGAGCTTTAAAAGCCAGTTTTAATGACCGTTAAAAATCCAAATCAAATTAACCGTTAGTTTTCATTGGATTGTTCTAGAACTTTCCATGCCTCTTAACATGGTAGTGGTGATGACATATTACTGCGGTGAAAAATAGTCCCGGTGTTGAAGTTGTTTTTATTGATTGAAGGCATTTTGCAGGGACATTTTTGTTGACGTTATAGACAGTGAAACTATGGAATGCAAAAATTAAATAAATACATAACTAATTAAATAAATACATATATAAATAAATATGCCCTTCAAATAAATAAATATGGTTATGAAATAAATTCGTAAATAAATAAATTAGGCAATAAATATATATAAATGTATATTTAAATACACATTTATTTATTTCAAGAGACTTTCATTCATAATGCCACATTTATCTCGCTAAGCTGTACGAGGCTGGTTATCAACTCGGTAAATCAACCCAGGGTTTCTCCGTCCAGCTGAGAGTGCGTTCACGTGAAAGGGGCGGGGTTAGCAACATTTGACCAACGCTAATGTAATACTAGTCAGATTGCTCTGAAGATGGGAGGTGATATGCTATTAATGTTCACGTTCACACACTCAGTCGGTGATTTTAGCCGGACCCCTTTCCTGCATACAGCAGTTTAAACTGTATTTCCAATATGACTTGATGGCTTTAAACTCCGCACACTGAGCTCTGATTGATCAGCAGGCGGTGCTTTCACTGAGTTGGTCTCTTATCTGGAACCAGAGCAGGTTAGGTGTTCATGTTGCACTCAAGGACTCAAGCGGACATCACTTGTCTTTTCTCACTCGTGGCAACTTTATTATGAAAGACAACTCCGTCACAGTACCAAAAACCACAGAGGAAGACACGCTCTTCCTTCACCTGCACACCCTCAGGTGGAGCCTTGTGGCGAAAACAGGCACAAACTAACCCTGCTTCAGCAACAAACAGAACATACAAACAGTCATACGTAGTTAGCACAAAGACACTGGACAAATAAACATGAACAAAACGTGTCAATCAACCACATTGTGAACTATGTCGTCACATTCAACATAAGTTACCATGGAGATCTACCCCGGTAAGAAGTGAAACAGCGTCGTAGGACAGAACACTCAGAATTAACCCTGAAGTTACCTCGCTAACCGCAAATCTGGCTTCGTAGTACAGAGGCCTGTACTATGAAGCTAGATTTTCCTAACCTGGATATGTTTGAGTTAGCCGGTTGGCCCAATCCAAAACATACGCGCTCTCGCTAAACTGTACTACGACGCTGGTTATCAAGTGGATCGCTCAAGCCAGCCGTGTCCTATCTAGTTAGGTGCGCGTTCACATGAAAGGGGTGGTATTTGGAGCATTCCACCAATCTCAAACACGGACAAGCGTACTGACAGCGCAGCGTCATACTTCCTGAATGAAAAGTGAACTTTAATATTAGTCAAATATGAAGAAGTTAAACTTTAAACATCCATGACTTAAACACTTTATCCAGGATAAAAGCCACATAGCTGCACCTGCAAGGTGAATACAGCTGGTAAAAGAAAAAGTGTTTGAATGCGTACATTAACAGGTTTATGAAATCACTGCCCCGTCCAAGACACGATCTGACTTTAATTAGGAGAATTTGACTCGAGTGTTTCGTCAACTTAATGTGTTGCTTAAAATAATACTTCTGCATACAGTATGTGACACTGTGAGTGTTGCACGGCCAGATACGGCTCAGCTGACTCAGATAAGGAAATATATGATACATTATGATGTGATATGATATGAATGATAATGGGACACATCGACGTCTGCACTCACAGTGCCGCGGACTGTACTTAATGTTACTCTGATCCGGTTACTTATGTCGTGGCAGATATTTAAGTAAGCTTTCTTAACGCTAATGTTATAATAGTCAGATTGCTCTGAAGATGGGAGGGGATATTCTATTAATTTTCACGTTCACACAGTCAGTTGATTTTTGCCGGCCGTCTTTCCTGCAACGGCAGTTTTCTGTATTTCCTCTATCCTGTAATATGACTTGATCGCTTTAAACTCCGCACACTGAGCTCTGATTGGTCAGCAGGCGGTGCTTTCACTGAGTTGATCTCTTAGCCTGCCACCTAACCTCCTCCCGAGGAGGTTAGCCGCTCAGCATAAGTTACCATGGAGATCTAGCCCGCTAAAAAGAGAACCAGCGTCGTAGGACCGGAAAGCCAGAGTTTTCCCTGAAGTCAGCCGGCTAAGCGAAAATCCAGCTTCGTAGTACAGGCCTCAGGGCACTGGAGTGCAAAACAAGAGCTATTGAGATTGAGTCGGTGCTGTTGCTTTGCTCTGGATCTGTGAGCTAACCACGCCCCGTTCATTTGAATATAAGAAATGTAAATGTAAAGAGCTGTGAAATAAAAATGAAATAAAAGTCTCCTGAAATAAATAAATGTGGCATTATGAAATAAAAGTCCCATGAAATAAATAAATGTGTAATTAAATGTACATTTATATGTATTTATTGCCTCATTTATATATTTCAGAATTGATTTAATAACCATATTTATTTATTTCATGGACATATTTATTGATATATGTATTTATTTAATTATTTATGTATTTATTTAATTTTGGCTTGAACGGCATTCCATAGCCCTGCGCCGTCTTGTCCATTAAACGAGTAATGCTAATGCCCTAATTGTGTTCAGGCAAAGCATTTCTACCGTGTATGAATGTCACTTTTCACTCCTGTTTCAACCCGGCTCCTGGGCTGCAACAAAAAGCAGGGAGGCGAGACGAGGGGTAAGAATATAACAATTGTTTATTTATAATAAACAAAATAGTGAATGGAACCAGCAACAGGTCCCCGAGGCTGGCACAGAGAGAGTGCCCAGAGGAGTGAGAGAGGGGTATCCGGCTGGGCTCTCTTCTTGTAGGCCTTTTCGACCCAGGTGCAGCTCATCGGGTAAACGTCGGCCCCACAGCACCGGATACTGTAAACAGAGAGAGAGAGAGAGAGAGACCACGGAACGCCTAGTGGTGTGGAGGGGTCGTCACACTCCTAAAATGTGGGAGCTGCCGTGGCGTTTGCAGCTAAACTCCGTTCTTTGGTGTACGTTTCACGACAGAGAACGTAACTGAGGGGAAAAGTTATGCTTGTGTTATCGGCTAATTACGCTTTGAGTACAGAGATGCATGGTGGGTGCCGTGTCCGTACTTACTTTTCCCATGATTTGATGTATTTAAACCAAAGTTTATCATTATGATGGTTTAGATTTAAATAATTGTGTTATATCGTATTTATGTGTGTGTGTCTGCAGTGTTACTGGTTGATCTCTCAGACTGGAGAAGATGAGTGAGGAAGAGGACAAGTCTTCAGTCTCCAGCTGTCTGTCTCTGAAGAGTGACCGCTCTAAAGAAAGACTTATATTCTTCAGAAATGAACCTGGACCCTCAGACACAAAGTAAGAGTCTGTTTCTACGGTAAACTGACCTGATGAGGATTCAGTTTTTATATAATCTAACCTGTTCTTTTATGATCGCAGTAAAGAGTTGTAGTAGAGTACAGTTTAATGGAACTCTTGCTCCTTGGCATCATCAGCGATAGTAAATGATCTACTGGTGAAATCATCCTCACACTGACATGTTGGACTTTGTGTTAAATCAAGCTAATAAAATACAAACATGTAAAACCTTTCACTCTCAAATGAACTGAAAAAGCAGAAACCCTCAATCACGATTGAAAGTTCAGAACAAGTCCAAAAATCTTTGATTGGGTAAACAGACAGAAGTCAAACGCTGAAAAAAACAAAACATTTCCACAGACGGAGAGCAGAGTCTCCAGTCCCCAGCTGTCTGTCTCTGAAGAGTGACAGGTCTAGAAACAACCTTATAAACTTCAGTAATGAACCTGGACCCTCAGACACAAAGTAAGAGTCAGTTTCTTCTGTAATCTGACCTGAAGAGGATTCAGTTTTTATATCATCTGATCATCTGAACTGTTCTTTAATAATGTGCGCATTATATTAAAAAAAACACAGGAGAGTACTTACTTTTCCCATGGGCAATGTGTATTACTACTGTTACAACATATTTTATAGAAAATCAAAATAATAATATACGTTTATCGAAGTACAATGCCCATAAACTACATGTCCCACAATGCACCTCGTTCTGTGACCTGCCACTGAAGCGTCTCTATATCAGCCGTTTCTAGCAGCGGGAACAGTCAGTGAGTGCACCCTCTCTTTAGCAATAAGTGGATTTCACAGGACATGGTTACACAAATAGATCTCTTAGAATATGATGCATTGCTGCAGATTAAACTAACCAACATCATTTTAAGGAGTTAAAACATCTAGAGCAGTAAACTGCAATACATGCAGCAGTTCACCTGCACACTTTAACTTTAGTGAGGTTTTTTTTTAATGCAGGATGTTTACTTGCACTGGGTTGTTTTCAAACTGTTTTAATAGCTTTGTTCTGCTTGTGTTTAGCTGCATGTCTATTTCTATCTTACTGAATATAATCCCTGTGTGTTCCTGTTCAGCTGATAAGGCTGGTTATGAAACAAGGGGAGGAGCTGCAGACAGGGAGGGACGTTGAAAGTTAAAGTATGAAGTCAGAGTGGTCAGACTGCCAGACTCCATTTTACACTTCGAGGGAGCAGGAGGAGGAAAACAGGGTGAGTGTTAACACCAGGCTCTGCTGCGTTTTTAAGACATCACAAATGTACTTTGTTAAACTGTATGTATAAAAAAGTAGTTAACAAAACAAAAACAATTCCTAGAGTCCAAGGTGACATTTTCAAATGTTGTAAACTTTTTATTTTCCTGGTTTCTGATTTCATTTGATTTAATTCAGAGCTGAGCCTGGTCATTAAGTTCATTTTGTCAGCAGGAATTCCAAAGTGTGGATCCTGAGCGAGTAAAGGACGAGTCCCACAAGCTGACATGCAAACTCTGCAGGAAAAAAAGTCTCCTCCATATCCTCACCATCAGGGCGCAGCTTCCTGAATGCCGGCTTCATAACAAAGCACGGAACTTCATTTTCCACAACGTGTGTTCCTTTCTCAGACTCTGAGGAAAACAGCAGCAGTGAGTCAGGCAGCAGCCTAGCTTTGTATCAACATATGAAGAGTTTGGTTCCAAAACGCTATAAATCCATTTTGATTAATTTGAGTAAAAATGTGTTTTCTTTACCAAGAAAAGTGGCAAGTGAAAACCACTATTTTCTGTTTCAAACTTTCACATAGCATCTTGAGGTTATAATAACATAACAAATTAAAATCCAGATTTTGATTTTCAAAGATTTATTTTAAAAACTGATAATTTTTTCCCCAAAATGCAATAGATCCATTTTATCAATATAAAAGTTATTTTTCATATTGAAACTGTGCAACAATACATAACAGTAAGTAAGTTGATACATATGAAAACCTCTGAACTTGGTCAATACTAAACTTCTATTTGGGCACTGGGCCAAAAATACATTAATCATCGCTCCCAAAATGTATTTAACGGGTCATCTTGTTAATGCTACACATTCATTACAACAATAAAACATTACATGTGAGGAAAATGTCATCATGAACAAGAACATGAACAACAATATCACATTAGACCACAGAAATTCCAAAATGACATTCATCTTTGCCATGTTACATTCATATTAGTGCTGTACGTTGTACGATTGTCTTGTGCATACTATAAATCCATTGCATTCATATAACTATATTTCTGTGTAAAACATTCAACAACTTATCATTCATTAGGAGTGGAATGGCCACTCTCAAAAGGCTGGCACAATGGGCAGCTACTCTTCATGACTGTCACAGTCAACCTCATTCAGCTGTGACTGAGAGAGTGCATCATCATAGAAGGCACGCACATTGTCACTCACACCAATTGCAGAGAGCAAGTTCAGGACATCCTTCCTTTTTGCTTCTTTCACTGTGCTTTCTTTGGGAAGCTGACTTGGCTTGAAGTTTGCCCACTTCTTTCCTCTCTTCAGCACAGAGTGGTAGCAGTATTCACCGCTATACACAGCCTTGAATCCCAGTTTCTCCTTCCTGAATTCCAGCATTCTTGCTTCACTTAGCTTAAATGACTTCTGTGACTTTACAAAAGCCTGTGTTTCTGTCTTGAAATCATAAGCCTCCCAGTCTTGCCCATAGACGTGTACATTTCCATGACTGCGCAAAAGCTGATAGTATTCCTCTGGCATAAGAATGGTATCCTTCTTTCGAACCTGTTGCTCAATCCTCCCAAACACACGATCCACGGGCAGAAAACTGTGACCCCTTATAGGAAACATATACTCAGCACCAGTGTTGGGCAAGTTACTTTTAAAAAGTAACTAGTAATAGTTAAAGTCACTGCTCTCAAAAAAGTAACTAGTTACTTTATTAGTTACTAAATTATAAACGTAACTAGTAACAAGTTACTTTACTTTACTTTAAAAATAATAACAATAAAAATACAAGTTTTTGTGTTGTTGGAAAAGGTCTTTCTGCACTGTGGCCCTGCTTTCACTGCTTTCACTGGTATTTTGCTGACTAGTTCTCTGAAGGCAACAGACTCGACCGTTGCGATGGGCAGCATGTCCTCAACAACATACCTGGCAATCAATCTGTTTAGTTGACTCTGGGTGACATGTGGCGATTTTAAAAAATCGTTTTTTGGCTGTTTAGATGGTGTTGCTCCATCTGGGTCACTGCCGGTGGTTGAGACGGTGGGGTCTTTGGCGACTAGTTTTATAGCCCCATGTACATTAGTTAGGTGCTTCAGGAGATTGGCATTGCTGTTATTCGATGTGGACAATGCTTTCTGTCCTGCACACAGTTTACATTTGACCGTAATATTTTTTGCGTCCTTTATCCCCACAAATTGAAAATAGTGGTTATATCTCCAAGTTGTAAATGCGCTGCTGCTCTCGCTGATACTTGCATCTGCCATTGTGTGTGTGTGTGCTGGTGGTGGGCGTTGCCGTGTATGTGTGTGTGTTAGCAAGTGTTTGTGTGTCTGTGTATTTTCCCCATAAGGCAAGACCCGCCCAACTCTGTCTCTGATTGGCTTACCTTGAAATGTTACCCCGCGTTAACCAATCATCACTCCTCTCTGGTCACTTTCACTTTTCCATGGTACTGTGAGAGGACATCACTGTATTCGCCTGTAATGGCGCGTTTCCACTACAGCGCGCAGCCCGGTTTAAGAGGGCTGTGACGTCAGCGGCCCGTTTGTGGTTGCGTTTCCACTTGGCCTAGTACCGGCCGGCTGGTCCTAATTCTCAGTTTTTCTGGCCTCATAAAATCGTGGGGCCAGGGCCAGAGACAACCGGGCTGTGTTTGTGACGTCAACGCTCTCGGCTGCTGATTGGTCGGAGAGAATCGTCACAATCTGCGCGCGAGATAATCCATTTTTACAAACAGCATTTTTGTTAACAGAGGAGCTACAACAATGGCAAAGAAAAGCACACCATGGTCGGTCGAGGAAGTGACGACGTCCATTATATTGCAGATGATAAGGTCCAGCGGGTGCTCGACGGGACAACTCGCAATATCAAAGTCTTTCAGGAGGTCTCTACACAGACACTGGACTCTCCAACGGCGTTACTGGAGTCTGCATGGTACGTTTTTGCTAACGCTGTTATTTGCTTGAAAGCTTTGTGTCCCTGCTTTGTGTCCCTATCTGTTCTAAAGCTCACTTCTAACAAATAAGTCTATTTTATCCTTACATTTATGTTCGACAACCCCGATGGAGCCCCGAAGGCTAGCTAGGCAGATAGCATTAGCGAGAGCTATTGTTTGCTAACACCATATGTGCCATTGTTTACGTTCAGTTTGTCTTTTCTATAGTTGTTGTTGCTATTTATAGTATTGTGCTGCAGTAGTTTGTGGAATTTACAAGTCATGTTTCTGTTCTAGATGATTACATTGGGACTAGCGAGGAGGAACAGTTCCGAACAACGTCCTCTGCATCAACAGCACAAACCGAGGAGGAGAGGATCTGGCCCTGCAGGAACGGCAACTGGCCCAGCAGAATCAATGCCATGTCTTATCTTATTGCTTGTTGATAAATAATTGCACCCACCAGCGATCGCACAGAAAGATGGCATCATCTAGGCGTCCCTCTGCAGTCAGAAATATCATAAACACCATCGTCCACAAAGCACTGTACAGGGGTTTATGGATTTAAGAGAATACTTATCACAGTGAAACCTTTATCATCTGTTGCAATTAAAGCAAATAAGAGAATAAATACTTGGTTAAATAATACATTTTAACTCTTTAGCAGGACAACTCTGCATACTGTTTGAAATTGAGTTTGCTAGCTTGAGGTCCTCCTCTAAAACATAACATTACATATTTTGTAATGGTATTAAGAATACATGATAAATACATGTAGAAAAATTACTCAATTGTAATACCCTCGTTGTGCTAGACTCAAACACATTGCTTATATATTTCAAAGAGAAGAGAACAAAAGAAAACACCTATACAAAGAGAGCGGTGCACAGCGCTTAATATTTACTTGCACTATATTTCTGTTGATCTGGGTTATTGTGTTGCACTGTTGGAGGAGCCTGTGACCTAAGATGTTCATTGTCATAACTACACTAGCTATGTTCGTATGACAAAATAAAAAACCTTGAACCTTGAGGCTGTGTCTTTCAGACAAACCATCATAATCATATTATTTTATGCTGTGGATACTTTAGCCTCCATCCATGTTAACAATTTTTTACACTTGCATTTATGAATATAGTTCTGTTGTGTTTTACACTTTTGTATTTATGTTTATAGTTTGCTTTGATATTTGCTTAATTTATTAGATTATTATTATGGGGGCAGTACTGGTGCTTGAAATTCAAATATTTACTAAATAGTCAATTCTGATAACATTTTTTTGGTTTAAATAATTTGACAAACACATGTATGTGAAAAAGAAAAGATGTATTTATGTTCAATACAATACAATGAATATTTAGGTATTACACGTAGGTTTTCCTCAGGCATCCTGAAGTTCTCCACCCACTGAGTGTGTGAAAGATGGAACAATCACATTCCACCACTCGGTAGCTCGGTCGGTAACTTCTGAAATACACAAACAAAAGCATACATATTTTAATACGTAAAAGTGGTAGCTACAATTAATTAAATACTTGAAATACTTTGGTCGTATAGGGAGAGTGAGCCTAAACACATTGCTAGTTAGCGAACGTTAGCTTACCAAGTAGCATTGTAGTTAGTAGTGATTCGAGTCGTCCTGTAGTCTCTGCGGCGTAGGAGGACTGCCCGAACTCTCGCGTCAGCTTCTTCTATACCTTGTCTTACTATACGTCGCCTCTTTCGAAACAACTCTTGTCTATTTCTTGTGATAATAAACCACACAGCAAAAAACAAGCAAACGATCGCTTTCACATCTCCATTGTTGTGTCGCATTGAAGATGACGTCACGGCAGTTTTAAGCAGCGTCGCTCCGCCTACACTGTGTTACTATAGATACTGACCCGGTTCCTAAACTGTAATGGAAACGCGCCACAAAGTGAGCTGGTCCTAACGAGGCCGGGCGCGGCCAAAGGAGGCCGAGCGGGGCCGAGCGAGGCTGTGTAGTGGAAACGCGGCATTAGTTACATCCGCACGGAGATTCGGTTCAGTTGGACCACATAATGTAACGCAGTAACGCACCCATTTAAATCACAGTAACTATAACGGCGTTACTGAATGGGAATAGGTAACTAGTAACGTTATTAGTTACCGCAAAAGGTAGTTGCGTTACAGTAACGCGTTAGTTTGTAACACTGATTCTTGGAAAGGCCTCCTTTATAAAGGAAAACAGCATGGACAGCAGGTTAATATTTTTGTTCTGACCAAAACAAGAATCGCTGAACAATCGCAGCCTCTGAGCGCGGTGAAGAGCACCACTTAACTGTTGACGTAAACAGTGGTCCAGAGCTGAAGCAGTCATATTGCTACCTTTTCTATTCTCATGCTCCATCCATGTGTACAGATGAACATGATCCACTGCTTGCTTACTTCCCGTCCCATGGTGAATAACGACACCAGAGAGATACATGTAAAGCTGTCTGGAATAGT